AATTGGCCAATTTTGCTCTCTTTCGGACAGCATCATAATACAGCCGCCATTTTGGGGGTAAGTTCAAAGGAGAGCCTAGAGGGCTAACAAATACTCTAACAGGGTCGCAGCAATTTGTTAATTGGAGACCTGTTTCTGCGAATATGCCACACAGCTGACAGTAAATCCCCCGCCGCTACGCGTGGATGGGGGGGGGGGGGGGGGACTGATGGCTGGGACCCACAAGCAAATAAATTGGAGGAAGTTGCAAGAGATGCGGTAGCTGCTGCTCATGAGTCCCAGCCATCTAGTTTAGTCCCCACCCGCGCGGTGCGGGGGATATGCTCCGCAGTGAGGTTTTTTTGTAAATATCCAGAAACCATGAGTTGTTAACCCTTTGGCTCGGTACTATGGATATCGCAACCCTTTGGCCTTGATTCCATGATAGGTACCGTAAATCTGGGAGAAATATGGCTTTTCTGCGGAAGAACACTATCACTAACATGCGTCTGAGTGTGCGGTCTTCCCGCCATGTCGCTATTATCGTGTGTATTATTACGTTTCTCGAAATTGTCAACGGACAGTAATCCTGGTTTTGCCGCGATGTGTTTGTCAGAGGAAGTCCATATTTTACACACGACTGAGGCCCTGTTAGGGTATTTTTTGGCCGACACAATATGAGGATGAAGTTGGGAGGAGAGCCGAGTTGGGGGCTTACACTAACCCCATACCCTAATCAAAAACGATATTTAATACTAAATAATATTATTATGTGAACTTACCCTAACAATGGAGAGGTGGAAATTCAGCAATTAATTCAAGTTAATGCTCGCTCAGAGGATTCGATCATTTACACAGACGGTTCAGTGTCAAGAGGCAAAAGAAGTGCTTGGGGCTTCTTAGCAAAAATTAATGGTCCACTTTTGGTGCAGGAGATCCTAGCATATGATACCACAACATCCAGCTTAAGAATGGAGGTGGAGGCGGTCACTGCAACTTTCCGCTGGCTAGAGAACACGACACACACACACACATCGTGATTGTAACTGATTCAGAAAGCATGCTGAGGAAGATCAAAACAGGTATGCTTCGTGCAGAATGGCATGCTTTGCTGCGGAGGACACGAGTGAGGAGTAATGTCTGGATTTTTATACGCTGGTGTATTGGGAAATGAACAAGCAGACAGACTGGCTGGCTGTGCACAACTTGGGGGAATACTGATACATGATAAGGCAGACGTGGTTAGTGCCTTGTGGGAGAGCGTGTACAGTTCGGAGGAGCAGATGGATCACCACAGTCTGGTGAGATTGATGCAGCTAGGAGTGACGAGAGGTTCTGGCAGATGCTCGAGACTCAGAGGAAAGGCAAGACGGGTGTTTATTCAGAATGCTGCTGGCACCATTAGTAACGGAACTCTTCGCTGGCTGCTGAAGATGAGGACGGAGCACTTATGGGAATACCCTGAGTGCTCTAATGTCGGTTCCTGAATCAAATCAAATCAAACCCTAACAATGGATTGCATCCCTTGAATCTCCACCTGAAGTATTAGTAACGTGCAATAGACTGCATCCTCCTAGGGTCACCGTTTTCATGTATGCCTAGCCTCCCCACCTCACCCCCTTTTTTTTCACTATACCCTGGAAAACAGTTGCTGGTACTGCCCAACAAATAGCGCTGAAAAAATTATGACTATAAAATATGGCGGTACACTCACCTGATAAAAGCCATGGTCCAGATACTTATTTTCTTGCTCAACTGCAACTAAATCATTTTTAAGTTTCCCTGGACGTGAATGCTGAATTTTAGATGATCACATTGAATCTCCACCAGTGTTCCAGGTCTTGATTATCAAGCCTGATCTTGAAGAGTCGGCATCCTGTATGTGTGGATCAGTGGTGGCTGGCAGGCAGTTAGAGGAAACCTGAACATCATCTAAGTGGCATGTCCAGCCACTCAGAATGAAAAACCTCCGCCAAGTGATCCAGTGATTTTATGTTTATTTGATGGTTGAATACCAAAACAATTCAAGTCTTTTTATTTATTACAGTGTTATTGAGTAACGAATTTCTAGTTTTGGAGTCCTTTTATTTGTATTGAATGTTTTTGTCAGTGAACACAACAAGTCATTTAAGATAAAATTAATTATAGTCATATATAATTCTTTCTGACCTTTTTTCCTGGCAGTACTTGATGGTACGCAATGCTGGCTATTTTTTTTCTTGCATCCTGTCTTCAGTGCTGCTGTAATAAATACTTTGTAGTGAGTAGCGGCACCTTTTAAAGATATTTTGTGGTGAGTATCGGCACCAACAGAAGAAAGACTTGAAAAAATCCAACGGCAAGAGCTGTCACAAGAAATTCTTTTTCTTCTTCTTCCGCTACTTCTTCTTCTTTCATCCGCTTGAAATAGATTATCTATATCTGCAATGTTGTCTCTAGTAAGAACTTCACTGTCTTTTGTAATTCAACAAGAAATTCAATAGCATCAATTATTCTATTGTCTTCATGAATTAGTCCTACAAAGAACACAGGAAACATCAGGCTAATGTAGCAAGAGGTACTTTCAGTCAAGAAGATCAGGCTAATGTAGCAAGAGGTACTTTCAGTCAAGAAGATCAGGCTAATGTAGCAAGAGGTACTTTCAGTCAAGAAGATCAGGCTAATGTAGCAAGAGGTACTTTCAGTCAAGAAGATCAGGCTAATGTAGCAAGAGGTACTTTCAGTCAAGAAGATCAGGCTAATGTAGCAAGAGGTACTTTCAGTCAAGAAGATCAGGCTAATGTAGCAAGAGGTACTTTCAGTCAAGAAGATCAGGCTAATGTAGCAAGAGGTACTTTCAGTCAAGAAGATCAGGCTAATGTAGCAAGAGGTACTTTCAGTCAAGAAGATCAGGCTAATGTAGCAAGAGGTACTTTCAGTCAAGAAGATCAGGCTAATGTAGCAAGAGGTACTTTCAGTCAAGAAGATCAGGCTAATGTAGCAAGAGGTACTTTCAGTCAAGAAGATCAGGCTAATGTAGCAAGAGGTACTTTCAGTCAAGAAGATCAGGCTAATGTAGCAAGAGGTACTTTCAGTCAAGAAGATCAGGCTAATGTAGCAAGAGGTACTTTCAGTCAAGAAGATCAGGCTAATGTAGCAAGAGGTACTTTCATTCAAGAAGATCAGGCTAATGTAGCAAGAGGTACTTTCAGTCAAGAAGATCAGGCTAATGTAGCAAGAGGTACTTTCATTCAAGACGATCAGGCTAATGTAGCAAGAGGTACTTTCAGTCAAGAAGATCAGGCTAATGTAGCAAGAGGTACTTTCAGTCAAGACGATCAGGCTCATATTTGTTTTACATTTAAGAACCTACACAGTTGGATCTTTATTGTTGCTGCTACCAATTATTTAATTAGAAGTAGGGTAATTTGCAACAGTATTTCCAAAAGCAACTGCCATTAGCCATTTTAAAAAAGCTAGAAAAACTAGACTATGTTCTTAGCTTAACCTGTGTAGATTCTGGCGTCCCTTTTGGAGCCGGAAGGAGTCGGGGGGGGGGGGGGGGGGGGGGGGGGGGGGGGGGGGGGGGGGGGGGGGACAAGGAATAGACTGACTGCCCTTCCTATACGGCTAACAAGTGTATAGCAAACCGTGACTAATTAGAGGTGTTTTGTTTAAAGGACAATAAGACACCTTTTCTTTGGGGGTGCCTAGTTGACCATTTTCTTAGTGCACTTGTATCCATGGCGAGGCGTAGACGCCGTCTGGATGTGACAGGTTCAATTCCTGGCGCGCTAACTATAGCTTTCAATTTGTATGTTGTCTAGTGTGTTTTTCTATCTTTCTACTTCTTTCTATGAGTGCCAATCAATACACTTTCTGTTACTTGATTAATTCATAATATTTAACGGACTCAAAGGTTCCCCCTCTGTTTATTTATTTGTTTAAAGGAGTGTGTCTGCTTGAGTGAGGAACCAGCAGTCTAAATACAAGTAAACCATATCTGTAAAACAGAATTCATGCTAAAACTCAAGTTATAGAACTAGGTCAACGTTCCGAAACTGATGAAAAACCAGAACTTTCTTCTGGTGGACACTTAGAAGAAGACTGCTTATAACACCAGTGGGGCATTTGCTGAAATCAGTCATACATCCACTGACAAGATAAAACAAAACGATCTCATGTGCAACTGCTGATCTGTAACTGCTGCTTCGGTCGATTATGAACTGCATTTCTAATTTCAGACTGTTTGTGTTAGCACTTCTGATGGCTGCCTTATGCTTTTAATGCTTGTGTATGATGAGACTGCAGTCTGTCTCAGTTTGTCCGCAAGGGACAGCGATGGACGTTCTGTGTTTTTGTTTTTGGCACAGGAGCGGAGCAACTAAAGGTTGAGAAAGGACACGTAAATACAACTAAATGTAGGAAAGGAAAAGGACACAAAGAAATACAACTGAATTTAGGCAAGGGAAAGCACACGCATAAATACATCACAAGCAAGAGAAGGGAAAGAACATACAAATACAAGTCAGTGAGGGAAGGAAAAGGACACACACACAAAACACATCAATGCAGAGAAAGGATACACACATTTACAACTCAGTGAGGGAAAAGGGCCTACATAAATACAACCCAATAAAGGAAAGGGACAGGACACACATAAATACAACTCATTAAAAGGAAGGGAAGTAAAGGGACACATAAATATACAACTCAGTGAAGGAAAAGGACACACACATATACAACTCAGTGAAGGAAAAGGACACACATAAATACAACTCATTAAAGGGAAGGAAAAGGGCACAAATAAATACAGTTCAATGAAGAAAAAGGAAAGGAAACTAAAATCAAATTGGTTACACTATATTCTATTTCATTTTGTATTCAACATGAAAGGTGTCTTATGTTTTATTTTCTTTTGTTTTTTTCCAGATCTGCCTTGGGTACTATTCAACACTTCTGCTCTCCAGTTGCTGATTTGCATTCAGATCAATTGTGGAACTAAGGAGACATAATAAATTTAGCATTACACAATAGTTACAATGACTGAAGCTAGAAAACTTAAAATACTTTGCATCCATGGATACAGGCAGAATGGCAAAGCATTCACAGAAAAAACTGGATCATTTAGAAAAATTGTGAAAAAATATGCAGATCTAATCTACATTTCAGCGCCCCATAAAGTTCCTCCTGGAAATCTTGGCAGTGCTGCATGGACAACTCAGCCACCAGGTAGTTCTCAAACTGTAGGTCCTGATGGAGCTGGTGTAACTGAAGGGAAAGACTCAGATGAGAGAGGCTGGTGGTTTTCTAGAGAAGATGACTATTTTAAATCCACTGACTACAGTGATATCTCTAAAGGTTTTGATGCATCCCTTCAGATGATCATTAATATTCTTGAGAATGAAAACAGTGGAGGATTTGACGGTATTATTGGCTTCAGTCAAGGAGCATGTTTAGTGTCAATTCTGTGTTTGATACAGCAAATGGAGAAGAAAAAATGGTTTAAGTTTGCAGTTCTGTTTTCAGGATTCAAGAGCCCTTCATCGAATCATAATAAGTACTATACTCAGAAAGCAACTATTCCTTCACTGCATGTCTTTGGTGATTCTGATCAGATTATAACTGCTGATAGATGTGAGGAGTTAATGTCCTTCTTTGAAAACCCAAAGTCTTTGAGGCACCCTGGTGGTCATTTTGTTCCAGGGTCTGCCCCACAGAAGAAAGTCTACATAGAGTTTTTTGAGGAAATGGTTCAGTACTGCCAGAATGTACAACACAGTTGATGATTATGTGATACATAAATGCACAGAACATATCTTTAGCTTGCTTGTCTGATTACAAATATAACTTGCAAAGTTTATTTTGATAGTGTTCTTTAACTGTATGTTACGTATGTGTAGAAAGAATTATGGGACATTGAAATAAGATGTCTTGTAGACAGGATAGAGCACTTTGCTCTCATTCATGAAACTCAGGTTTGAGCTGTCTTCAAGGTATAGACATTTTTGTCTAGGGGGGAAAGTAAAATGCTTTTTCTTCTGCATTCATCCAAAGATGTAATTGTGTTGTGCCCATTTACAGAACAGCTGTGATATTTATACCTTTCGGCCAACACATCTAGCTTCTACAGCCATTTTTTGACCTGGTTAGCTTTCCCAGTTAAATAAAAATCCTAAGTTCATGGCCATTGCACTAACCATGGGACCAGTTCCGGATTTGATTTGATTCTTCTGAGGGGGCTGAGTGGTCTCGAGGTATGGTGTTCGCCTCGAGTGCCCGAGGTCCTGAGTTCAGGCCCCAGTGAAGGCTAGGATTTTTTCACATTAGACTTCTAGTAATTTCCCCCGGTCTCTGGGTGTATTTTTGGTCACGTAAAAAACTCCTTGGCAGTTGGAAATTTAAAAGAGTAGCTTAGCGGCACTGCCCAGGCAAAATTTTTGCCGGTGCAACAGTTTGTGCACTGAGCTGAGATTCTTCAGACTCAGGCTTGAGTTAAAAGTAGAAGGAGCACTTATGGGTTACACCCGTGTGCCATGATGTTGATCCGTCATATACACATTAGACTTGATTGGGACCTAAGCTATACACAGTCCTGAGACCCCTTCTGATTACAATTATACTTGCATCAGCTAATATCAGAAAGCTTTAAATATATAAGCCTTTTAAATACATCATCATCATCATTATATAGCAGGTCCTTTGCAGAATGTCGCTCTCATCGCGGTCTGCCTGAAAGAAACTTGGTCTCTCACCAGCTCTCCTGCCTCATGTACTTTCATACTCAAGGAGTCACTTATATCCTGTGCCCATCTTCATGTTGGTCGGCCCCTGCCCCTCCTTCCTGGTACCATGCCTTCTGCTATAATTTTGTCCAGTCCGTCGTGGCGCTTGATATGACCAAAATATTGCAGCTTCTGAGTCAGGATGCTGTTTATTAGCCAATCTTCCTTGTTGTTCATATCTTTCAAGATTTTAAATATATGGATATATGCGGAAATATGCTAGCGTAAAATGTTTTTTTTTTTTTTTTTTTAACTTTCCCATTCCCTAATGTACTTATTTTTCTTCACTTCCACTTTTACCATTGTGGATGCCCCATACCACCCTAAAAGTAGGGAAAATGAAAGTAGTAAGTACACAAATCTTTTTCTTCGCATTCACTGGCAGTAAACTGGCGGAAAGTTCTGGGTATTCTTCCACTTCCAGACATTAGTCTTGTTCCACAACCTGAGTGTTGTTTGTACATCCGTTCCACCATCTGGCTTATTTGTGTGCAGACTCTTGGTTCCTTGTCTTCCAGGCAGATGTACTCTGACTACGATAGAGACCCCAATTAGTCAGCTCCAGCAATGTGCTTGTTAGTAAGGCAGTGGGTCTGTTCTTGTTTTCCCTACAATGGACCCCCAGAACCTACACAGGAAGTCCAGAAATGAGACATACCTAAGACACTAGGATTTTAATCAAAGCTGCCAGACCAGTTAGTCTTAGGTCACTACAAACTTCAGATTGCAAGCAAATGTCTGATTCCACATATGGGTTTTGGGGGCCCCATTTTGGAAGAAGAAAAAATAGATCCATGCCCCCCCCCCCCCTAAACCCAACAAGCAAATCTTATAAGGCAAAATCGGAGGGCATGTGCCTGGGAGGATGGAACCAACAGTCTGCATACAAATAAGCTATGGCTGTGTAATGCTGTGTAATGGATGTGCATGCAAACCACATGTTCAGGAACAAGTCTGGAAATTGAGGAACAACCAGAGCTTTCCAGACAGAATTTTTTTTAACGCAGACTTGAATTAAAAAAAAACACAGCAAGAATATAATGTAAGTAAAATAAAGAGTAAAGTTCCCTTTTCACGCCTTTCGGCGCATCGGGCATATGGGCAGAGCCTCCCATATTTTTACAGACCATCAGCACTCTGTGGGTAGTGTGGTCAGCATTACGCCGGCTGTCTTTACTTTACCAGGACAGCCCATCCTGGTACCCATTTTAGGCTGGGTCGACCTGCGACGTCCCATACCACGATAAAAATCCACGCATCCTGCAGTGGGTTTCGATCGCAGTATGCTGGCTTACGAGTCGGACTCGCAACGCCTTAGCCACGGACGCCGCTTGCCCAATACACCTGAAGATGTGGAAAAAGGTCCTTCACTTTTCTGTGCTTGGTGAAGTGGTTGGGAACTTTTAGAAGCAAAGCTACCTTTAGTGTTGTTTTTACATTGTGACTGGACAAATCTGAAAGTTTCATAAATGAAATGGCTTAAAAGGGTATAACATCAAGAAAGAAAGGAAAAAATCTTCACAATAGAGAAATAAAACTAAAGAATGTTGATTCTTAGGTTAAAAAAAAGAAAAAAAATTGGCTTTAAGTCAGTCTGTCCAGAATGACTCCAGATGAGGTAAAGAAATTGTAAGAAATGTTAATTAGAGAGTAGAGGAGGAAAGACAAAAGGCATGTTGTTTCCAGGAGAGAGAAAAGAAAGCCAAAGAAATAAAGCAAATAGAGAAACATTTTTACGCCAGTGATGTGTCGGACATATCATGCTAGACATAATTGGTATAGACTTTTTATAGCATCACTTCAGAGGTTCCGGGTAGTTAGCATCCTTTGAATATTTTCTCCAGGTAATGCCGGTGTGTTGGGGAATAGGCAGGCAGATAGACTGGCAGGTTCTGCACCATGTGGTGGTGAATTGATGTATGACAAGCTAGATATTGTGAGGGCCCTTTGGAAACAAGTGGACTGTGTGGATGCACAGACAGATCATTACGGTCTGAGAACAATGGCGCTGCGAGGAGTTACCAGGTAATGTGGCCGATGCTAAACACTCAGCGGAAGGATGAGAGGGATATACAATCAGACGGCTACTGGTGCCATCAGAATTAGAACTCTTCGCTTGCGGTTGAAGATAGGGGACGGAGCACTTATGGGAGTGCCCCGAGTGCTGTGATGTCAATTCTTAATTCAACATTCATGTATAAACTAACTGGCACTCAGCGAATAGTTTGATCCTAGTGATCAATGCACAGGCATGAATAGAGAGAATGGGGACAGCTGGGGGTGACCAGGGGAAATCTGGTCGACACTCTTCACTCGAAGGGCAAGGACAAAGCATCAAACTGCCACTTACATCACTGGAATTCTCTGTGTTGGTTCCAGGACCCCATTGTGGGGAAAACAAGAATAGACCCACTGCCTCCCCGAGAAGCATGTTGTTGAAGTCGACGGACTGAGGACATCCTACAAAGTCGAAGTACATCTGCCTGAGAGGCAAGGAACCACAAGTCTGCATTTAAAAAAAAAAGCCTGATTAGTGAAATGGATGTGCACGCAGCTCTCAGGTTCTAGAACCCGGAGGTGGACAAACCCCCAGAGCTTTCGGCTGGAGTTTACAGCTGGTGAACGAGAAGAAGAAGAAGATTATTGGAATTGGAACTCTTAAGAAGAAGAAGATCATTGGAATTGGAACTCTTAAGAAGAAGAAGATCACTGGAATTTGAACTCTTAAGAAGAAGAAGATCATTGGAATTTGAACTCTTAAGAAGAAGAAGATCACTGGAATTGGAACTCTTAAGAATAAGAAGAAGAAGATCACTGGAATTGGAACTCTTAAGAAGAAGAAGAAAAAGATCCCTGGAATAGGAACTCTTTGCTGGCTACAGAAGATCAAGACGAAGTGCTTATGGGCATGTCCTGAGTGCTGTGATGTCAGTTTTGAACTCAGCCAGTAATGTAATCAACACTGGCCGTCTTTACTTTCCTTGATTTACCTGATACTGTACATGACGGTCAAGTCGATCTTGGATATGGTGAATTTCTGTTTATCCCTGGGCCAAGAGAGCCTGGGAGCCAAGGTTAATTTTGAAGAAAAAAATCTCCCTCTGTGCAGATTGGAGCCCAAGAGCCTTATGCCAGCAGATAGTGCGTGGCTACAATGCTGCTGCAACTCCCCAAAGAAGTATTGACTCTAGGGTGAAAGAAGAAATTCAAAACAATGTTTTCCTGTTGTAAATGTAAATAATGCGGATAGATGTACATCAACCCGACAGTGTGGTTTATGCATTTCAGCAAGAAAAAAAATTTCATTTTGTGCAATGTAAATATTTTGTCCGCATTATATAAAATAAGAAAGTCCATGGGCTATTGACTCAAAGCAGGAGGGGATCGATATTTTAATGAAAGAAATAATCTCTCTCTCTCTCTCTCTCTCTCTCTCTCTCTCTCTCTCTCTCTCTCTCTCTCTCTCTCTCTCTCTCTCTCTCTCTCTCTCTCTCTCTCTCTCTCTCTCTCTCTCTCTCTCTCTCTCTCTCTCTCTCTCTCTCTCTCTCTCTCTCTCTCTCTCTCTCTCTCTCTCTCTCTCTCTCTCTCTCTCTCTCTCTCTCTCTCTCTCTCTCTCTCTCTCTCTCTTATTCATAGTCCCAATCTTTGTGTACTAGGGGTGGCCATTTTCTGTTAATAGGATACTACTCCTACTCAGGGCTTTTTTGTCCCCCCCCCCCCCCCCCAAGTACTGGTACTCACCACCGGGTGTCTGAAAAAGGTGCATGTTCTCGTCACAAAGTGTTTATTCCAATTGTTTTGCGAAAAAAAGGGTGCCGGTACCGCTTGCTGCCAGAATGAAAAAGAACGTGCTCCTACTTCACCCATTGACACACAAATACTAGAGGCTAGAAAGCAGTTCTGTGATTTTAAGTATTATTTATTTTGTTACAAATATTTTGGCTTTCTTGAAACATGAAATATCTCCATTTCTTGACATTTGTTGAAATGACATAATAAAA